CTCATTATTCAAATTCCTGTATACCTCAAGAGAGAAATAACAGGCGGAATCAGTTATAGAAATATTTGTTTTTCCTACCATCCCTCTCTCATTTCTTCCAAACTTACGATATATGTTCCTTACGAAGTGTGAGTCTGAGTTAGAAACGACTCACACCTCACATTATTGCGTGTCTGACCTACTCAACAATCGTATAAATCAAAATTCAATTATACAGCTGTGACTCAGACCAGAAGTAACATAACAATTTATTATGAAGACTATTAGACTAAATTTAAAATTGGGAATTACAATCACTACGCTACAAAAAAAATATTACATCCCGCTAGAAGCAGGACTGCACTTATCTGTGTAAAAGATTGCTAGGTCCTCACTCGAGGCTTCTGTGAACAAGTGTTCTACATCGTACGAGGATTGTTCCCATCTCTATCCAGAGGTCCTGTAATAAAGATACCTGTCCATGAGACAGGATTGTTCCCATTTCTATCCAGAGGTCCAGTAATAAAGATACCTGTCCATGAGGCAGGATTGTTCCCATCTCTATCCAGAGGTCCTGTAATAAAGATACCTGTCCATGAGACAGGACTGTTCCCATCTCCGTGGAGAGGTTCTTCAATAATGCAGGAGAATGCAATCAGTCATTCACGACTTTGTCACTTCTGTTCTGCAATAATCATGGCTCCGGATTACTGTTATTTCGGCCGGTGATGCTAAATTCCTTACGAATTATACCAGTCTTCCTCCAATTGCGTGAAACACGCTGCTACACACCTCCAGCTCCTGTACCGGCTGTACATCATCTAACCTGCCACTGTTCCACCATTACTGTACACGATCCAATCACTACTTCTCCACAGTGTTTCTCTTAATGTACACAACTTGATATATTATAAAAAAAAATGTTATATTAAATTCTGACATTGAAAACGCGTAGAACATTTATTAATTGTGACGATTACAAAGGATGAAAATATAATTTATTATGAGTGGCTGCCTGGAGGAAAGACTGATTGTTTCCAATGGCTTATTACTCGTTTTTACTTGTATGTGTACATATCTCCCTATGTTACACGAATTTATGAAATACCCATTAAACTTGTACATAACCATAAAATCGAAAAAAAATATACCCCATTTACAATAGCCTAATAAAACCACTTAACAATTTTCCATAAATCATTTCTCTGGTAGCGCCATTTAGGTTAGGTTAGATTAGTTTACACTTGGTGTGTTAGATTATCCATCAGATACTGAGTTGAAAAACTCAATATCTGATGATATAAGTATGATAATGATTTGCTACTATAAGAACAGCCGCTTTAGAAAAGTATAAGCATGAGCTCTAGAAGTGTGAGAATAATACGGAGTGTAAGAATGAATGGAGTGTGAGGATGATAAGCGAGTCAATAGCAACAAAGGAGTTGAAGTCACGTTTCTAACTCATAAAACGATGCATTTGGCTGGTGGATGTGTTCTGTTGTCTAAGTTCTTCCCGTTGAGAACACCCGTAGCTCTCCTGTTGTCGTTGATGCAGTGTAACGGCAAGTGTAACAGATATAGAAGGTCTGTTGTAGGTAACAGTGGTTTTCCAGGCATTACTTGCTGATAATTCTGAGACTGACCCCTATGTTCATCATAGCAATGAACAGAACACGTGTTGATCACTGCACTCAACACATGGTCATCACTGCACTCAACACATGTTCATCACTGCACTCAACACATGCTTATCACTGCACTCAACACATGTTCATCACTGCACTCAACACATGTTCATCACTGCACTCAACACATGGTCATCACTGCACTCAACACATGTTCATCACTGCACTCAACACATGTTCATCACTGCACTCAACACATGTTCATCACTGCACTCAACACATGTTCATCACTGCACTCAACACATGTTCATCACTGACACTCAACACATGTTCATCACTGCACTCAACACATGTTCATCACTGCACTCAACCCATGTTCATCACTGCACTCAACACATGTTCATACACTGCACTCAACACATGTTCATCACTGCACTCAACCCATGTTCATCACTGCACTCAACACATGTTCATCACTGCACTCAACACATGTTCATCACTGCACTCAACACATGTTCATCACTGCACTCAACCCATGTTCATCACTGCACTCAACACATGTTCATCACTGCACTCAACACATGTTCATCACCTCACTCAACACATGTTCATCACTGCACTCAACACATGTTCATCACTGCACTCAACCATGTTCATCACTGCACTCAACACATGTTCATCACTGCAACTCAACACAAAGTTCATCACTGCACTCAACACATGTTCATCACTGCACTCAACCCATGTTCATCACTGCACTCAACACATGTTCATCACTGCACTCAACACATGTTCATCACCTCACTCAACACATGTTCATCACTGCACTCAACACATGTTCATCACTGCACTCAACCCATGTTCATCACTGCACTCAACACATGTTCATCCTGCACTCAACACATGTTCATCACTGCACTCAACACATGTTCATCACTGCACTCAACACATGTTCATCACTGCACTCAACACATGTTCATCACTGCACTCAACCATGTTCATCACTGCACTCAACACATGTTCATCACTGCACTCAACACATGTTCATCACTGCACTCAACACATGTTCATCACTGCACTCAACACATGTTCATCACTGCACTCAACACATGTTCATCACTGCACTCAACACATGTTCATCACTGCACTCAACACATGTTCATCACTGCACTCACACATGTTCATCACTGCACTCAACACATGTTCATCACTGCACTCAACCCATGTTCATCACTGCACTCAACACATGTTCATCACTGCACTCAACACATGTTCATCACTGCACTCAACACATGTTCATCACTGCACTCAACACATGTTCATCACTGCACTTAACACATGTTCATCACTGCACTCAACACATGTTCATCACTGCACTCAACACATGTTCATCACTGCACTCGACACATGTTCATCACTGCACTCAACACATGTTCATCACTGCACTCAACACATGTTCATCACTGCACTCAACACATGGTCATCACTGCACTCAACACATGTTCATCACTGCACTCAACACATGTTCATCACTGCACTCAACACATGTTCATCACTGCACTCAACACATGGTCATCACTGCACTCAACACTGTTCATCACTGCACTCAACACATGTTCATCACTGCACTCAACACATGTTCATCACTGCACTCAACACATGTTCATCACTGCACTCAACACATATTCATCACTGCACTCAACACATGTTCATCACTGCACTCAACACATGTTCATCACTGCACTCAACACATGTTCATCACTGCACTCAACACATGTGTTTGGAAGAGCTAAAAGCAAATTACTTTTGTTTGAACAATAATGTTATCTAGATTTAATGTTGTAATTAAACTGATTTAATTGGCATAAATAATCGTTTTGATGTTTCTGTAACACTGATCTTGGTCGTTGTTGTCGTTGTTCTTTGATGTTTCTGTGGCGCTGAGCCAAGTCGTCGTCGTCAGTGGATGTTACTGTAGCTGTCGTCGTCAGAAGCAGCCCTCAGCCGGGTCGTAATCAGCTGTTGTCTCGTCATTGGCTCCTGTATGAGGGAGGGTCGTTGTATTAACTCCGTTCTCGACGAAGGATGAATTGTACTTTCAGTCACGTTCAGGGACGTTCAGTGGCAGGAGAACGGCAGTGTTCTTGTGTTCGTTTGCGCACTCAGCTCACACACTGAAGTCCGGAGATCGAATCCCCGGTACGGCTGGAAAGCATTAGGACGTGTTTCCTTAAGACACCTGCTGTCCCTATTCACTCATCAGTATAATGGGTACCTGGGTGTTAGTGGACTGGTGTGGGTCGCATCCTGGGACAAAACTGACCTAATTTGCTCGAAATGCTCTGCATAACAAGCGGCTTTCTATATAGTAGTATGTCATTGATGTCAGCTATGGTCTGTATACCTTGTACATGTACTGGTAGAAATAAAGATATTATATTATTATTATTATTATTATTATTATTATTATTATTATTATTATTATTATTATTATTATTATCCGTGCTACACCCACGTCCTCACGGGGTCAGAAGAGAGGCAAGGCTGGTGAGTACTTCCTCTCCTCTTTAAATACTCACTCTACCATTGTTAACTATTGATCTAAAGATATTATGAGTTGCCATCGGCCAACTTTTTCTCTCTTTGTTTGCTAAAACCTTTCTCACTCGTCTTTGACTTTAAGTAGCGCTTCTTCTGAAGTCTGCCAAATATTATTGGAATGTTTTGCATAGTTTGTAGCCTTCGTAGGGCACCTGTTGCATTAAACATAGCTGTGAGACAGCCATGAGGCTTCAGTTTAGGGACATTTAGGGGGATTTCCAGACAAGTGAAGACATATGGACAGGTTTCCGTGTATCTGCTACTCCTGATCACTTAGCAGTAAATATGAGTATTAGTCGAGTGTTGTGAGTATTATACTAGAGAAGATTCTAGTGAAGCAAAAAAGGCCTGTAATTCGAGGGTTGTTGCTCGGGTAGGAGTTACGGTTGTATTGCGGTGTTCTAGAGAAGAAAAACAGTTTTACTCCTAGTTGACCAGGCTAGCACCAGACGAGCCTGGCCTATGGCCGGGCTCCAGGAGTAGAAAGACACTTGAAAGTCATTAAAAGTATATATCGAAGGTATGCTCACGTAGGGATTTACTGCGGTGTTCTAGAGGAGAGAAAGAATCTTACTGGTCAGGTAGGAGTTACGGATTTATTGGTGTGTTCTGGAGGAGAGAGATGATCTTCCTACTCAAATACGGGGTTAGGGGTTTGTTGTGGGGTTTTGGAGAGTAGTTACTGTTTCTAATTAAGCAATCGTTAATCTGTATAAGCAGGTCTTCCGTGTTTCATGAACCGTGACAATGAGGTAGAGAGATCCTGCTAACCTGCCCCTCTTATCTCTCCCACAGTGCCCCCAGGAACCATGACCATTACCAGCAACTATGCCCCGGATACGAGGGTGGAGGGTAGGGCTGGCCCCTACCCTGAGGGAGCACAGGTCATCCTCTCATGCCAGGTCATAGGAGGTGAGTCACTTAGAAGAAACATGAGCTGTTCTGATATTAAAATCAAATTCCTGATGACGAGGCTCTTAACCTTGAGATTCCTCCTTTGTTATTAGCTGGATAAGAGGACGCTAAGTGCAACTAATGCAACATTTTATTGTAGCAACGTTTCGCTCTCCAGGAGCGAACAAAACGTTGCCACAATATAATGACACATTAGCTACACTTAGTGTCCTCTTACCTAACAAACTATCGGTAATTTTACCAACATCACTACAACTGCTATTAGCTAATCCATTGATGAAGTAATCTCTGTTGAATTAGTTGGGAATGGACAAAGGCACAGCTAGCTAGCAAGTGACTTATCTAGCCAGAACACTAGCAGATGTAATAAGGAATCATATCGATGAATTATGTAACATTTCTAGAAAGTACTGACTTGGCTTGCCTAAGACAAGAAAATATTTTATTGCTAGGAGTGACCAAGTTGGCTTTTATTGTACAGTCAAAAGAGCGCATTATTATTCCGCCTGGAAATGAAAATGGAAGCTGTCGGCCAAAGAAAAACAAAGGGAATTTTCTTTCTAGGAACGCGGAAGGAAGGAGCTGCTTGCTCTAATCTAGGGATTAAGTTATTTTTTTCTAACTGGGTACAAAAAGCAGAGTTGTTTAGATAATATTATTGCAAGGTGAGGACTTGAGAATGCTTGTGAGGACTTGAGAATGTTTGTGAGGACTTGAGAATGCTTGTGAGGACTTGAGAATGTTTGTGAGGACTTGAGAATGCTTGTGAGGACTTGAGAATGTTTGTGAGGACTTGAGAATGCTTGTGAGGACTTGAGAATGCTTGTGAGGACCTGAGAATGTTTGTGAGGACTTGAGAATGCTTGTGAGGACTTGAGAATGTTTGTGAGGACTGAGAATGCTTGTGAGGACCTGAGTATGCTTTGTGAGGACTTGAGAATGCTTGTGAGGACTTGAGAATGCTTGTGAGGACTGGAGAATGCTTGTGAGGACTGGAGAATGCTTGTGAGGACTTGAGAATGCTTGTTAGGACCTGAGAATGCTTGTTAGGACTTGAGAATGCTTGTTAGGACTTGAGAATGCTTGTTAGGACCTGAGAATGCTTGTGAGGACTTGAGAATGCTTGTGAGGACTTGAGAATGCTTGTGAGGACTTGAGAATGCTTGTTAGGACTTGAGAATGCTTGTGAGGACTTGAGAATGCTTGTGAGGACTGGAGAATGCTTGTGAGGACTGGAGAATGCTTGTGAGGACTTGAGAATGCTTGTTAGGACCTGAGAATGCTTGTTAGGACTTGAGAATGCTTGTTAGGACTTGAGAATGCTTGTTAGGACCTGAGAATGCTTGTGAGGACTGGAGAATGCTTGTGAGGACTGGAGAATGCTTGTGAGGACTTGAGAATGCTTGTTAGGACCTGAGAATGCTTGTTAGGACTTGAGAATGCTTGTTAGGACTTGAGAATGCTTGTTAGGACTTGAGAATGCTTGTTAGAACCTGAGAATGCTTGTGAGGACTTGAGAATGCTTGTGAGGACTTGAGAATGCTTGTTAGGACTTGAGAATGCTTGTTAGGACCTGAGAATGCTTGTTAGGACTTGAGAATGCTTGTTAGGACTTGAGAATGCTTGTTAGGACTTGAGAATGCTTGTTAGAACCTGAGAATGCTTGTGAGGACTTGAGAATGCTTGTTAGGACCTGAGAATGCTTGTTAGGACTTGAGAATGCTTGTTAGGACTTGAGAATGCTTGTTAGGACCTGAGAATGCTTGTGAGGACTTGAGAATGCTTGTGAGGACTTGAGAATGCTTGTTAGGACTTGAGAATGCTTGTTAGGACCTGAGAATGCTTGTGAGGACTTGAGAATGCTTGTGAGGACTTGAGAATGCTTGTTAGGACTTGAGAATGCTTGTGAGGACTTGAGAATGCTTGTGAGGACTTGAGAATGCTTGTGAGGACTTGAGAATGCTTGTGAGGACTTGAGGATGCTTGTAACATGTATCATGACCTACAACCAGGAAGTAATCTTGCTAGTGATCTAGAACTTGACTTCTCAAGATTGGCATCTTGCTAGGACATCTTGCTAGGAGTTAGGAAGTGTCTTAGCCTGATAGGAAGTATGTCAACTTGCTAGGAGCTGGGAAGTATGTTATCTTAATAGTTAGGAAACACGTTATCTTGCTAGGAGCTAGGATGTGTGCCATCTCGCTAGGAGCTAGGAAGTGTACTATCTTGCTAGAAGCTAGGAAATGTGCTATATTGCTAGGAGCTAGGAAATGTGCTATCTTGCTAGGAGCTAGGAAATGTTCTATCTTGCTAGGAGCTAGGAAGTGTGCTATCTTGCTAGGAGCTAGGAAATGTACTATCTTGCTAGGAGCTAGGAAATGTGCTATCTTGCTAGGAGCTAGGAAGAGTGCTATCTTGCTAGGAGCTAGGAAATGTACTATCTTCCTAGGAGCTAGGAAGTGCGCTATCTTGCTAGGAGCTAGGAAATGTACTGTCTTGCTAGGAGCTAGGAAGTGTGCCATCTTGCTAGGAGCTAGAAAATGTGCTATCTTGCTAGGAGCTAGGAAGTGTAATATCTCGCTAGGAGCTAGGAAATGTACTACCTTGCTAGGAGCTAGGAAATGTGCTATCTTGCTAGGAGCTAGGAAATTTGCTATCTTGCTAGGAGCTAGGAAATGTGCTATCTTGCTAAGAGCTAGGAAATGTGCTATCTTGCTAGGAGCTAGGAAATTTGCTATCTTGCTCGGAGCTAGGAAATGTACTATCTTGCTAAGAGCTAGGAAATGTGCTATCTTTCTAGGAGCTAGGAAATGTGCTATCTTGCTAGAAGCTAGGAAATGTGCTATCTTGCTAGGAACTAGGAAGTGTACTATCTTGCTAGGAGCTAGGAAATGTGCTATCTTGCTAGGAGCTAGGAAATGTACTATCTTGCTAGGAGCTAGGAAGTGTACTATCTTGCTAGGAGCTAGGAAATGTACTATCTTGCTAGAAGCTAGAAAATGTGCTATCTTGCTAGGAACTAGGAAGTGTACTATCTTGCTAGGAGCTAGGAAATGTGCTATCTTGCTAGGAGCTAGGAAATGTACTATCTTGCTAGGAGCTAGGAAGTGTACTATCTTGCTAGGAGCTAGGAAATGTATTATCTTGCTAGGAGCTAGGAAATGTACTATCTTGCTAGGAGCTAGGAAATGTATTATCTTGCTAGGAGCTAGGAAATGTGCTATCTTGCTAGGAGCTAGGAAGTGTGCTATCTTGCTAGGAGCTAGGAAGTGTGCTATCTTGCTAGGAACTAGGAAGTGTGCTATCTCGCTAGGAGCTAGGAAGTGTGCTATCTTGCTAGGAGCTAGGAAATGTACTATCTTGCTAGAAGCTAGGAAATGTGCTATCTTGCTAGGAACTAGGAAGTGTGCTATCTTGCTCGGAGCTAGGAAATGTACTATCTTGCTAGGAGCTAGGAAATGTGCTATCTTGCTAGGAGCTAGGAAGTGTACTGTCTTGCTAGGAGCTAGGAAATGTACTATCTTGCTAGGAGCTAGGAAATGTACTATCTTGCTAGGAGCTAGGAAATGTACTATCTTGCTAGGAGCTAGGAAATGTACTATCTTGCTAGGAGCTAGGAAATGTACTATCTTGCTAGGAGCTAGGAAATGTACTATCTTGCTAGGAGCTAGGAAGTGTGCTATCTTGCTAGGAGCTAGGAAATGTACTATCTTGCTAGGAGCTAGGAAATGTACTATCTTGCTAGGAGCTAGGAAATGTACTATCTTGCTAGGAGCTAGGAAGTGTGCTATCTTGCTAGGAGCTAGGAAATTTGCTATCTTGCTAGGAGCTAGGAAATGTGCTATCTTGCTAGGAGCTAGAAAATGTACTATCTTGCTAGGAGCTAGGAAATGTACTATCTTGCTAGGAGCTAGGAAGTGTGCTATCTTGCTAGGAGCTAGGAAGTGTGCTATCTTGCTAGGAGCTAGGAAATGTACTATCTTGCTAGGAGCTAGGAAATGTACTATCTTGCTAGGAGCTAGGAAGTGTGCTATCTTGCTAGGAGCTAGGAAATGTACTATATTGCTAGGCGCTACGAAATGTACTATCTTGCTAGGAGCTAGGAAGTGTGCTATCTTGCTAGGAGCTAGGAAATGTACTATCTTGCTAGGAGCTAGGAAATGTACTATCTTGCTAGGAGCTAGGAAATGTACTATCTTGCTAGGAGCTAGGAAATGTACTATCTTGCTAGGAGCTAGGAAATGTACTATCTTGCTAGGAGCTAGGAAATGTACTATCTTGCTAGGAGCTAGGAAATGTACTATCTTGCTAGGAGCTAGGAAATGTACTATCTTGCTAGGAGCTAGGAAATGTACTATCTTGCTAGGAGCTAGGAAATGTACTATCTTGCTAGGAGCTAGGAAATGTACTATCTTGCTAGGAGCTAGGAAATGTACTATCTTGCTAGGAGCTAGGTAATGTACTATCTTGCTAGGAACTAGGAAATGTACTATCTTGCTAGGAGCTAGGAAATGTACTATCCTGCTAGGAGCTAGGAAATGTACTATCTTGCTAGGAGCTAGGAAATGTACTATCTTGCTAGGAGCTAGGAAATGTACTATCTTGCTAGGAGCTAGGTAATGTACTATCTTGCTAGGAGCTAGGTAACGAGCTGCATTTATCTTCGTTGTTCTTCCTTCGTTTATTCCTATCATTATGTTATGTTGCATAAAATTTATCGTTTTTTCTTCTGTCCGGTTATATTTATTGAGGTTTATCATTGCCTTCTGTCCCCATTCTCCCTCCCTTCCTATTTCCCTCCCTCTTTGTCTCCCTCTTTCTCTCCCTCTTTGTCTCCCTCTTTCTCTCCCTCTTTCTCTCCCTCTTTCTCTCGCTCTTTCTCTCGCTCTTTCTCTCCCTCTTTCTTTCCCTCTTTCTCTCCCTCTTTCTTTCCCTCTTTCTTTCCCTCTTTCTCTCCCTCCCTTCTTATATTTTCCACCTCTCCTTATTATTTCCATATTTTTATCCTGTTCCTTTGAATGTGTAGAGTGAGAAAGATGGATAGTAAGAATGATGAGAATAGACGTGATGGTTTCTCAATATGGAGTTTACAGTGACATGAGCCAGTAGGTCTGTTCATGTTTTTTGTAACATTAGACATGACAAAACAATGAGAACTAGCTTAGGAGAGTCGTCACAACATCAGAAATGAGAAGAGAATGAGAACTAGCTTAGGAGAGTCGTCACAACATCAGAAATGAGAGGAGAATGAGAACTAGCTTAGATGAGTCGTCACAACATCAGAAATGAGAGGAGAATGAGAACTAGCTTAGGTGAGTCGTCACAACATCAGAAATGAGAAGAGAATGAGAACTAGCTTAGGTGAGTCGTCACAACATCAGAAATGAGAGGAGAATGAGAACTAGCTTAGATGAGTCGTCACAACATCAGAAATGAGAGGAGAATGAGAACTAGCTTAGGTGAGTCGTCACAACATCAGAAATGAGAGGAGAATGAGAACTAGCTTAGGTGAGTCTTCACAACATCAGAAATGAGAAGAGAATGAGAACTAGCTTAGGTGAGTCGTCACAACATCATAAATGAGAAGAGAATGAGAACTAATTTAGGAGAGTCGTCACAACATCATAAATGAGAAGAGAATGAGAACTAGCTTAGGAGAGTCGTCACAACATCATAAATGAGAAGAGAATGAGAACTAATTTAGGAGAGTCGTCACAACATCATAAATGAGAAGAGAATGAGAACTAGCTTAGGTGAGTCGTCACAACTTCAGAAATGAGAAGAGAATGAGAACTAGCTTAGATGAGTCTTCACAACATCAGAAATGAGAAGAGAATGAGAACTAGCTTAGGTGAGTCGTCACAACATCAGAAATGAGAAGAGAATGAGAACTAGCTTAGGTGAGTCGTCACAACATCAGAAATATAGGAAAGGGGTTGAAAAACTGAACTGCTCTGCATAACAAAGGGTTTTCTGTATAGTAGTATGTCATTGATGTCAGCTATGGTCTATATACCTTGTATACCAGAAAGCTGTTCCCGACTCTGACTTTCTCCCTCCCTCTTTCTGACTCGTGGTTTGATCTTGGTTCAGGACAGAAAGAAAAGTGTTTTAGTTTCGACACTAGTTAGTGGGAAAAAGAGTAAATTCACCTCCTGGTCAATACCTTCTCTAGTGGGTGTAAAATCTCACCCATTCATCTCGGATCTTCCACTGACGTTTGAAAAATTTAGATTTAGACAGAATATAGGAGACGACTGGTTTAGTAATAGAGTTGTGGATGAGTGGAACAAACTCCCGAGAAGTGTTATTAAATCTAAAACCTTGTGTAGTTTTAAAAATAGGGTAGACAAATACACAAGTGGGTGTGAATGGGTGAGTGTGAGCTGAACCTGACTGGCTTTGGCCTAAGCCAGTAGGTGACTTGAACCTGCCTAGCATAGGCCAGTAGGGCTCCTTCAGTGCTCCTTTTTTCTTATATTCTTAAAGCACAACAGTTTTTTTCCTGTTTCATATATAAATTGGAATTGTTTGCTGTTTCTTCCTGTATCTCACACTGTCGCTCTCTGCTCCATTATCTCTTAAAATTCTTCACCAATAAAATCCAAATGTCTTTCCGTTTCCTTTCAGGTCGTCCCCGACCTCAGGTGACCTGGTGGCATGAGGAGTCACTTCTTGACGACGTAAGTGAGGTCATGACAGGTCAGGTGACCCGTAATGCTCTTTTCTTGACCCGTCTCACCCGCACTGACCTCAACAAGACCTTGACATGTCAAGCCGTCAATTCTAACCTTAGTATACCACTGTCCGAGGCAGTGATTATAGACATGATGTGTAAGTATTGATATGAATGTTTGATGTCACGTACGAGATGTCTCCGTAGAGATACTCCTGTATAAGATGTCACTATAGATAATAGTAAGTATATATTAATATGTCTACTCCTGCATTAGAAGTCTCGATAGATAATGGTAAATACACATAAAATTAGATCTTTCTCTGTTATCATACAGGATTTCTTCCACCACAGGAAAGGTTAAGAAAAAATGAAACATTCAAAATCATTTATTAAACAGTTACCCTGGCAAAAGTGTTCAGACATCAAGTCTCAATGACCCTCCGATCTGCAGCATATTCCCGCTCCTTCATAATCCTTGTACTTCCAACCTTCACCACCCAGTACCTAACCAGTTTTCTCGAATTATGTATATATATGTATTATATATATATATATATATATATATATATATATATATATATATATATATATATATATATATATATATATAATATATATATATATATATATATATATATATATATATATATATATATATATATATATATATATATATATATATATATATATATATATATAATATATTCTTTCTTTCAACACACCGGCCGTATCCCACCGAGGCGGGGTGGCCCAAAAGGAAAAACGAAAGTTTCTCCTTTTACATTTAGTAATATATACAGGAGAAGAGGTTACTAGCCCCTTGCTCCCGGCATTTTAGTTGCCTCTTACAACACGCATGGCTTACGGAGGAAGAATTCTGTTCCACTTCCCCATGGAGATAAGAGGAAATAAACAAGAATAAGAACTAGAAAGAAAATAGAAGAAAACCCAGAGGGGTGTGTATATATGTGCTTGTACATGTATGTGTAGTGTGACCTAAGTGTAAGTAGAAGTAGCAAGACGTACCTGAAATCTTGCATGTTCATGAGACAGAAAAAAGGACACCAGCAATCCTACCATCATGTAAAACAATTACAGGCTTTCGTTTTACACTCACTTGGCAGGACGGTAGTACCTCCCTGGGCGGTTGCTGTCTACCAACCTACTACCTATGGTAGACTGTTTTATATATATATATATATATATATATATATATATATATATATATCCTCTTCCAGTTAAATCACACCTTCCAACAATCCCTTTCTGGACGATCCTTCCTCAGATTTATTATTATTATTATTATTATTATTGCTGTTGTTGTTATTATTATTTTTATTATTATTACTATTATTATTATTATTATTACTATTATTATTATTATTATTATTATTATTGTTATTATCATCATCATCATCATCATCATCATCATCATCATCATCATCATCATCATCATCATCATCATCATCATCATCATCAAAACTATACGCTAAACCCACAAGGGTCATACAGCCCCTCAGATTTACACACCCTCTCCGTCATCCTATTCTCCTCCATCCTCTCTAAACATCCCCTCCTCTGCCTTCTGAATAATACATCGCATAAACCCCTCACTGTATTCTAATTCCTACGTTCTAAATTCATTGCATAATATACACACCACATATTTCTCATAAAGTGGTATTTCCACTGTCTTGATCCTCCTCCTCACTACAATGATTAAACCCCATATGAAATGGTATTTTAATACTTTGGTAAGTCTATAAATCACCTCTACTTCACAGACCCATATGCCAACATGTCCACTCCCATATATCTAAATATTTTCACTTCCTCCATACTCCAGCCTTCCATCTCATATACAGTTTTCATTGTTTTAAACATTTTCCTGCGTCCTCTTCCTCTCTTCCATCCTCACTTTTAATTTGCATCATTTATACAGCTTCCCAAACTCATCCCCCAGCCTTCTAAACTCATCTCTTCAGAATCTTCCAAATGAACAATGTTGTGAGGGGATTTCATAGTTAATTATTTAAAGTTTAATGAAGAATGATGGTCATTATTTATCTTTAAATACAGTCTAAGTGCAAAGTAGCAATGCTAATATTTTGCACTTCACCCAGTCACACACCTGACTGGGTGATTTCTTCTGTATTGACTGAAGAAGTCTGTTCACAGGTGAAACATCTTGGTAAAGTTCCTCTCTGCAACTGTGCCTTCTCCCTTCCATAACTTCTGCTGTGCACGAAGGTCTATAACCTCTGTTGGGAACATACGCTCATAACCTTTGCTTCGAGCAAAAGTCAACACCTTTGCTCGCCACAAAGACACACATCCTCTGCTAAGCACAAAGGTCCTTAACCTCTGCTGGACATACTACAGAAATTTGTAAAAATCTTTCATATATTCACAAACAGGTATTGGTTGTTATGAATGTTGAGAGATTAACCAAAAAATCTCAAATATTTTGAGTTAACTGAAGTAAATGTAGAGAGTATGAAAGACCTTATCAACAATGAAATAAATACTTGATGTATGGTTGACCAACAAGCACCACAACATAGTGACTGGAAGACTGTTCAGCACCACAACATAGTGACTGGAAGACTCCTCAGCACCACAACATAGAGTGACTGGAAGACTCCTCAGCACCACAACATAGAGTGACTGGAAGACTCTTCAGCACCACAACATAGAGTGACTGGAAGACTCCTCAGCACCACAACATAGAGTGACTGGAAGACTCTTCAGCACCACAACATAGAGTGACTGGAAGACTCTTCAGCACCACAACATAGAGTGACTGGAAGACTCTTCAGCACCACAACATAGAGTGACTGGAAGACTCTTCAGCACCACAACATAGAGTGACTGGAAGACTCTTCAGCACTACAACATAGAGTGACTGGAAGACTCTTCAGCACTACAACATAGAGTGACTGGAAGACTCTTCAGCACTACAACATAGAGTGACTGGAAGATTGTTCAGCACCACAACATAGAGTGACTGGAAGACTCTTCAGCACCACAACATAGAGTGACTGGAAGACTCTTCAGCACCACAACATAGAGTGACTGGAAGACTCTTCAGCACCACAACATAGAGTGACTGGAAGACTCTTCAGCACCACAACATAGTGACTGGAAGACTCTTCAGCACCACAACATAGAGTGACTGGAAGACTCTTCAGCACCACAACATAGTGACTGGAAGACTGTTCAGCACCACAACATAGAGTGACTGGAAGACTCTTCAGCACCACAACATAGAGTGACTGGAAGACTCTTCAGCACCACAACATAGAGTGACTGGAAGACTCTTCAGCACCACAACATAGAGTGACTGGAAGACTCTTCAGCACCACAACATAGAGTGACTGGAAGACACTTCAGCACCACAACATAGTGACTGGAAGACTCTTCAGCACCACAACATAGAGTGACTGGAAGACTCTTCAGCACCACAACATAGAGTGACTGGAAGACTCTTCAGCACCACAACATAGAGTGACTGGAAGACACTTCAGCACCACAACATAGAGTGACTGGAAGACTCTTCAGCACCACAACATAGAGTGACTGGAAGACTCTTCAGCACCACAACATAGAGTGACTGGAAGACTCTTCAGCACTACAACATAGAGTGACTGGAAGACTCTTCAGCACCACAACATAGAGTGACTGGAAGACTCTTCAGCACCACAACATAGAGTGACTGGAAGACTCTTCAGCACTACAACATAGAGTGACTGGAAGACTCTTCAGCACCACAACATAGAGTGACTGGAAGACTCTTCAGCACCACAACATAGTGACTGGAAGACTCTTCAGCACTACAACATAGAGTGACTGGAAGACTCTTCAGCACCACAACATAGAGTGACTGGAAGACTCTTCAGCACTACAACATAGAGTGACTGGAAGACTCCTCAGCACTACAACATAGAGTGACTGGAAGACTCTTCAGCACCACAACATAGAGTGACTGGAAGACTCTTCAGCACCACAACATAGAGTGACTGGAAGACTCCTCAGCACTACAACATAGAGTGACTGGAAGACTCTTCAGCACCACAACATAGAGTGACTGGAAGACTCTTCAGCACCACAACATAGAGTGACTGGAAGACTCTTCAGCACCACAACATAGAGTGACTGGAAGACTCTTCAGCACTACAACATAGAGTGACTGGAAGACTCTTCAGCACCACAACATAGAGTGACTGGAAGACTCCTCAGCACTACAACATAGAGTGACTGGAAGACTCTTCAGCACCACAACATAGAGTGACTGGAAGACTCCTCAGCACTACAACATAGAGTGACTGGAAGACTCTTCAGCACCACAACATAGAGTGACTGGAAGACTCTTCAGCACCACAACATAGAGTGACTGGAAGACTCTTCAGCACTACAACATAGAGTGACTGGAAGACTGTTCAGCACCACAACATAGAGTGACTGGAAGACTCTTCAGCACCACAACATAGAGTGACTGGAAGACTCTTCAGCACCACAACATAGAGTGACTGGAAGACTCTTCAGCACCACAACATAGAGTGACTGGAAGACTCTTCAGCACCACAACATAGAGTGACTGGAAGACTCTTCAGCTCCACAACATAGAGTGACTGGAAGACTCTTCAGCACCACAACATAGAGTGACTGGAAGACTCTTCAGCACCACAACATAGAGTGACTGGAAGACTCTTCAGCACCACAACACAGAGTGACTGGAAGACTCTTCAGCACCACAACATAGAGTGACTGGAAGACTCCTCAGCACCACAACATAGAGTGACTGGAAGACTCTTCAGCACCACAACATAGAGTGACTGGAAGACTCTTCAGCACTACAACATAGAGTGACTGGAAGACTGTTCAGCACCACAACATAGAGTGACTGGAAGACTCTTCAGCACCACAACATAGAGTGACTGGAAGACTCTTCAGCACTACAACATAGAGTGACTGGAAGACTGTTCAGCACCACAACATAGAGTGACTGGAAGACTCTTCAGCACCACAACATAGAGTGACTGGAAGACTCTTCAGCACCACAACATAGAGTGACTGGAAGACTCTTCAGCACCACAACATAGAGTGACTGGAAGACTCTTCAGCACCACAACATAGAGTGACTGGAAGACTCTTCAGCACCACAACATAGAGTGACTGGAAGACTCTTCAGCACCACAACATAGAGTGACTGGAAGACTCTTCAGCACCACAACATAGAGTGACTGGAAGACTCTTCAGCACCACAACATAGAGTGACTGGAAGACTCTTCAGCACCACAACATAGAGTGACTGGAAGACTCTTCAGCACCACAACATAGAGTGACTGGAAGACTCTTCAGCACCACAACATAGAGTGACTGGAAGACTCCTCAGCACCACAACATAGAGTGACTGGAAGACTCTTCAGCACCACAACATAGAGTGACTGGAAGACTCCTCAGCACTACAACATAGAGTGACTGGAAGACTCTTCAGCACCACAACATAGAGTGACTGGAAGACTCTTCAGCACTACAACATAGAGTGACTGGAAGACACTTCAGCACTACAACATAGAGTGACTGGAAGACTCCTCAGCACCACAACATAGAGTGACTGGAAGACTCCTCAGCACCACAACATAGAGTGACTGGAAGACTCTTTAGCACTACAACATAGAGTGACTGGAAGACTCTTCAGCACCACAACATAGAGTGACTGGAAGACTCTTTAGCACCACAACATAGAGTGACTGGAAGACTCTTCAGCACCACAACATAGAGTGACTGGAAGACTCTTCAGCACTACAACATAGAGTGACTGGAAGACTCTTCAGCACCACAACATACAGTGACTGGAAGACTCTTCAGCACCACAACATACAGTGACTGGAAGACTCTTCAGCACCACAACATACAGTGACTGGAAGACTCTTCAGCACTACAACATACAGTGACTGGAAGACTCTTCAGCACCACAACATACAGTGACTGGAAGACTCTTCAGCACGACAACATACAGTGACTGGAAGACTCTTCAGCACCACAACATAAACTGAATATATGGAAGACTCACCAATACTATAGCATAAACTGAGTATACGGAAGATCCTTCAGCAATGAAGTATATACCGAGTGTTGATAAATGGTTCTGATAACTGACAAGTTGTTAAATTAGACACATGTGCAACACTTGGGTATCTTTACTGAGGAAACATTTCGCCACACAGTGACTTCCTCAGTCCAATACAAAGAAGAATGCCGAAGATCAGAAGGAATAATTACTGAGCGTATAGTTGACCAACCAGCAATAAATAATACACTGCGCGTGTGGATATTTTACCATCACCAAGCCAGACAATAAACTAGATATACTGTATACTGAGTATGGATGACCCACCAGCATTAAAACATATATTAAGTGTACTAAAGACCGATTAGCACCAGCACCTTCACATTACAGACAGGAGACACACATCACACTGTTTAGTTTGACAGAACTGTAGGAAATGGTTATAAATTTCGACATACACACACTGAAAGAACTTATTACATCCAGTGTTCCTGGAAGACATATAGACCAAGTTTACCCATCACTTACCCTCTGCATACAAACATGGTATTTCTAATGGACTTGAAACCATCTGCGTAATCGAATTTAATTGCTTCTTTCAACTTTTTTTACCCTAATTAACCAAATAGGGATACTTGTGTTGGGTAAACATGTGACGAACACCAGTCACTTAACTGGTCAGACAGTCGACTACCAGGATCGGTCTGGGACTGAAAATTGGGGGTCGATAATCCCCAGACCCAGGTTAGTATTATTTTGACTTTTAAATGAGATGCAGTGCTATTGTTAATGGTATTATTTATTATAATCAAAACTAAGCGGTAAAAGAATTCTTAATGGTAGAGATTAAAGTTATTTGTTTATTTGTTTATTTGTTATGTGTTGATGAGTTATTTTCTGGTCTGTGGCGCTGAAGGTTCTCGCCGGTGATCTATAAAGTCCATGAGGCCTTCATTCTTAATTTTCTTATTTCAGATAACGTCAATTTTTCTTTCCCGTCAGACCCACCTACGTCGGTCCGGCTTGTGTCAGGGTCAGAGGGTCAGGTCACGCTAACGGAGGGAGTGCAACGATATCTGACCTGTGAGGCAAGAGGATCACGACCACCTGCGCGCCTCCAGTGGTTCAAGAATGGATTACCTCTCAACCACTACACTCAGGTCAATCATTGTTCCTTCACCAGGTACCACTGTAGAAACATCCACCAGTGTCATGGATGCATTAATACGCTCGTGACACAGGTATCTAAACGGGAGGAGGATGAAATTAGGTACAGTAGCTTTCCACTGCCACAAATGTGCTCGCGTTAGGAGTGACATGTCCAAGTGTAGTTACTGGGCACCTAACGTTTTGTAGTATGGTGGCGTAATGGACTAAGTCGTCGAGAATTTAGCCGGCTTCCCTGGGAGGCGGGTTTAATAACTCGGGTTCGACCCCCAGCTGATCATAGAATTATTTCCTTAAAAAACACTTGTTTCGTGGATGCATTAATATATATATATATATATATATATATATATATATATATATATATATATATATATATATATATATATATATATATATATATATATATATATATCGTGATTACTCACATTATCAAGGGACATGTAACTGATAATGTGAGTAGTCACGAAAGCGCTTGGAATTTCACTATTCTTTCACAGTGGTTATATATATATATATATATATATATATATATATATATATATATATATATATATATATATATATATATATAAAACAACACTGCACTAGCCAAGGACTCGAACCCATGCTGCTTTGGCCTGCCTCATGGTGGGCGAAAACACATGACGCCCTGATCCACTGGACCATACGATCCTTAAGAGTAGCGCATCCAGTAGAGCTGTCCTTGGCTAGTGCAGTGTTGTTATTGATTAATACCACTCGTTCGTGGTCACAATAATATAAAATACTGCTCATTGTACTAGTACACCAAACAGGGACTAGAATGAAATTAGCCTAGAGTTATCCACGCCATCGTGTGTCCTTGGGTAGCGAGTACAACATCCAGTTCCGCTGGATGCGCTACTCTTAAGGATCGTATGGTCCAGTGGATAAGGCCGTCATGTGTTTTTGCCCACCATGAGGCAGGCTAAAGCAGCATGGGTTCGAGTCCTTGGCTAGTGCAGTGTTGTTATTGATCAATACCACTTGTTCATGGTCAAAATAATATATATATATATATATATATATATATATATATATATATATATGCTTGCTTTCTTTCTTTAATTAATAACAATGAATGATAGCCTGTCCTGGAGTTTAATATAAATTTATCTCTCAGCTCTCTCTCTCTCTCTCTCTCTCTCTCTCTCTCTCTCTCTCTCTCTCTCTCTCTCTCTCTCTCTCTCTCTCTCTCTCTCTCTCCTCTCTCTCTCTCTCTCTCTCTCTCTCTCTCTCCCGGTTACCCCCGAGTTACTTGTGATATTTTCGTCTTGATTAGAATTAAATATATATATATAGGTAACCAAAAATGGTAATAGTGAATCTCATCGCAAAATGAGTACCGAGGTACCGAGGTACCGATGTACCGAGGTACCGAGGTACCGAGGCAGCGTCACAAGTAACCAAGATCGGTGTTGGTCAGCGTTCTAAGGCTCTCTTCCCTGTAATCTCCAACTTATTGATGAGGAGAAGCTGTGAGGAGGAACCTGGGCTGGAGACTTCACGTGCTAGCAGAGATTGGGGGGAAGACAATTACCTGTTTCTTCCTACCGCTGTTATGGTCATTGCTTTCTTTCCTTTAATTTACTTAAGTAAAAGCCATACTTACGAAGGACAGTTTGTAGTTCTGGAAATTAAAAAACGACATAGCGAAAGAGTTTTTTTTTTTAATGGTCGCAATCTTGTGAGATGTATAAGATGTGTAAGAGATGTGTACAAGAAGTTTTCCGAGACGTGATTTTCTTCCCTGGTAGTTTGTTGAGTGAGTTGTGTCAAGATGTGACAGTGGTTGGTGTGTTGTGTGTGTGTCAGCGTCCTCATGTTGGTGTGCTGTGTGTGTGTCAGCGTCCTCAAGTTGGTGTGTTGTGTGTGTGTCAGTGTCCTCATGTTGGTGTGTTGTGTGTGTGTCAGTGTCCTCATGTTGGTGTGTTGTGTGTGTGTCAGTGTCCTCATGTTGGTGTGTTGTGTGTGTGTCAGTGTCCTCATGTTGGTGTGCTGTGTGTGTGTCAGCGTCCTCATGTTGGTGTGTTGGTGTGTGTCAGTGTCCTCATGTTGGTGTGCTGTGTGTGTGTCAGTGTCCTCATGTTGGTGTGCTGTGTGTGTGTCAGTGTCCTCATGTTGGTGTGTTGTGTGTGTGTCAGTGTCCTCATGTTGGTGTGCTGTGTGTGTGTCAGTGTCCTCATGTTGGTGTGTTGTGTGTGTGTCAGTGTCCTCATGTTGGTGTGTTGTGTGTGTGTCAGTGTCCTCATGTTGGTGTGTTGTGTGTGTGTCAGTGTCCTCATGTTGGTGTGTTGTGTGTGTCAGTGTCCTCATGTTGGTGTGTTGTGTGTGTGTCAGTGTCCTCATGTTGGTGTGTTGTGTGTGTCAGTGTCCTCATATTGGTGTGTTGTGTGTGTGTCAGTGTCCTCATGTTGGTGTGTTGTGTGTGTGTCAGTGTCCTCATGTTGGTGTGTTGTGTGTGTGTGTCAGTGTCCTCATGTTGGTGTGTTGTGTGTGTGTGTCAGTGTTCTCATGTTGGTGTGTTGTGTGTGTGTCAGTGTCCTCATGTTGGTGTGTTGTGTGTGTCAGTGTCCTCATGTTGGTGTGTTGTGTGTGTGTCAGTGTCCTCATGTTGGTGTGTTGTGTGTGTCAGTGTCCTCATGTTGGTGTGTTGTGTGTGTGTCAGTGTCCTCATGTTGGTGTGTTGTGTGTGTCAGCGTCCTCATGTTGGTGTGCTGTGTGTGTGTCAGTGTCCTCATGTTGGTGTGTTGTGTGTGTGTCAGTGTCCTCATGTTGGTGTGTTGTGTGTGTGTCAGTGTCCTCATGTTGGTGTGTTTGTGTGTGTGTCGGTGTTCTCATGTTGGTGTGTTGTGTGTGTGTCAGTGTCCTCATGTTGGTGTGTTGTGTGTGTCAGTGTCCTCATGTTGGTGTGTTGTGTGTGTGTGTCAGTGTCCTCATGTTGGTGTGTTGTGTGTGTCAGTGTCCTCATGTTGGTGTGTTGTGTGTGTCAGTGTCCTCATGTTGGTGTGTTGTGTGTGTCAGCGTCCTCATGTTCGTGTGCTGTGTGTGTGTCAGTGTCCTCATGTTCGTGTGTTGTGTGTGTGTCAGTGTCCTCATGTTGGTGTGCTGTGTGTGTGTCAGCGTCCTCATGTTAGTGTGTTGTGTGTGTGTCAGTGTCCTCATGTTGGTGTGTTGTGTGTGTGTCAGCGTCCTCATGTTGGTGTGTTGTGTGTGTGTCAGTGTCCTCATGTTGGTGTGTTGTGTGTGTGTCAGTGTCCTCATGTTGGTGTGTTGTGTGTGTCAGCGTCCTCATGTTAGTGTGTTGTGTGTGTGTCAGTGTCCTCATGTTGGTGTGTTGTGTGTGTGTCAGTGTCCTCATGTTGGTGTGTTGTGTGTGTGTCAGTGTTCTCATGTTGGTGTGTTGTGTGTGTGTCAGTGTCCTCATGTTGGTGTGTTGTGTGTGTGTCAGTGTCCTCATGTTAGTGTGTTGTGTGTGTGTCAGTGTCCTCATGTTGGTGTGCTGTGTGTGTCAGTGTCCTCATGTTGGTGTGTTGTGTGTGTGTCAGCGTCCTCATGTTAGTGTGTTGTGTGTGTGTCAGCGTCCTCATGTTGGTGTGTTGTGTGTGTGTCAGTGTCCTCATGTTGGTGTGTTGTGTGTGTGTCAGTGTCCTCATGTTGGTGTGCTGTGTGTGTGTCAGTGTTCTAATGTTGGTGTGTTGTGTGTGTGTCAGTGTCCTCATGTTGGTGTGTTGTGTGTGTGTCAGTGTCCTCATGTTGGTGTGCTGTGTGTGTCAGTGTCCTCATGTTGGTGTGTTGTGTGTGTGTCAGTGTCCTCGTGTTAGTGTGTTGTGTGTGTGTCAGTGTCCTCATGTTGGTGTGTTGTGTGTGTGTCAGTGTCCTCATGTTGTTGTGTTGTGTGTGTGTCAGTGTCCTCATGTTGGTGTGTTGTGTGTGTCAGTGTCCTCATGGTGGTGTGTTGTGTGTGTGTCATTGTCCTCATGTTGGTGTGTTGTGTGTGTGTCAGTGTCCTCATGTTGGTGTGTTGTGTGTGTGTCAGTGTTCTCATGTTGGTGTGTTGTGTGTGTGTCAGTGTCCTCATGTTGGTGTGTTGTGTGTGTCAGTTTCCTCATGTTGGTGTGTTTGTGTGTGTGTCAGTGTCTTCATGTTGGTGTGCTGTGTGTGTCAGTGTCCTCATGTTGGTGTGTTTTGTGTGTGTCAGTGTCCTCATGTTAGTGTGTTGTGTGTGTGTCAGTGTCCTCATGTTGGTGTGTTGTGTGTGTGTCAGCGTCCTCATGTTGGTGTGTTGTGTGTGTGTCAGTGTCCTCATGTTAGTGTGTTGTGTGTGTGTCAGTGTCCTCATGTTGGTGTGTTGTGTGTGTGTCAGTGTCCTCATGTTGGTGTGCTGTGTGTGTGTCAGTGTCCTCATGTTAGTGTGTTGTGTGTGTGTCAGTGTCCTCATGTTGGTGTGTTGTGTGTGTGTCAGTGTCCTCATGTTGGTGTGCTGTGTGTGTGTCAGTGTTCTCATGTTGGTGTGTTGTGTGTGTGTCAGTGTCCTCATGTTGGTGTGTTGTGTGTGTGTCAGTGTCCTCATGTTGGTGTGTTGTGTGTGTCAGTGTCCTCATGTTGGTGTGTTGTGTGTGTGTCAGTGTCCTCATGTTGGTGTGTTGTGTGTGTGTCAGTGTCCTCATGTTGGTGTGTTGTGTGTGTGTCAGTGTCCTCATGTTGGTGTGTTGTGTGTGTGTCAGTGTCCTCATGTTGGTGTGTTGTGTGTGTGTCAGTGTCCTCATGTTGGTGTGTTGTGTGTGTGTCAGTGTCCTCATGTTGGTGTGTTGTGTGTGTGTCAGTGTCCTCATGTTGGTGTGTTGTGTGTGTGTCAGTGTCCTCATGTTGGTGTGTTGTGTGTGTGTCAGTGTCCTCATGTTGGTGTGTTGTGTGTGTGTCAGCGTCCTCATGTTGGTGTGTTGTGTGTGTGTCAGTGTCCTCATGTTGG